GTTGGATACTAAAGGCACAGATATTTAATTCAGTGGGGATAAAACCAGGCTTGGGAACAGAAGATAGGGTGGTAAAAGAGGAATCACATACAGACCTAGCCCTAAGCTATGGACATGAGTTAGCATTTGGCCTTTAGTGGTGTTGTGTAGGTTAGCCAAGCAGATCCTCAAAGGACCTGCCTCTCAGAGCAATAAGCTACAGGAATCCAAAGCATCAGGCTGACTAACTAAACAGGATTTTTTTCAGCAACAGATGGTCCCAAGCATCAGGCACATCAGTCTCTGGGATATAGAGGGGCTGCTGAGACATTTGTGAGTTGGGAAACCATCCATAGGCCTGAAAGGGCTTCAAAAAGAGTCGCAGGCCTGACAGGTACACAAGGAACATGCACTGTGCTCCCAACCAGGCTGACTACTCTGAATCTCTGGGGTCAAATTGTACATCTGTATTTGTCCTTGCCAAATTTCAAATGAGTTGCTTGCTAGTAATTTGGAGGGTGCTGTACAAATGATGGGGTCCCTTCAGGGCATAAGTGAATCAACAGCAGCTTGTTCTGGGTTTGTAGCGTCTTCATCGTTGTTCGTCTGGTCAGGTTTAAAGCAGGTGTTTGTTTAGGAGGGCTGCATGTATTCTCTTCACATGAGCTGAATCAATAGAATCGTCTAAATTGCTGTGCCCAGGGACAAATCAAGATCATGCTTGATCTTGGTGAATTCGTGCCTGCAGAATGTGAGGGACTGTCTTCATAGACATCTCTCTTGAAGGTCGTCGGCCAGGGCACTTGTGTATTTTAGCAATGGCTACATGAGTTTTAGAATTGATTGAAACTTCCCACTTATCACATTGGTGACGCTTTCTCACTCCTAAGTTCTAGTTAGGAGTGTCAGTGTCTCTTCTCTGACACTTTCTAAAACCTGTCTGAATGGGGCCCACAGTGGGGAAGGAAGTTTTACTTTATATCAGGAAGACTGTATGGATGATTTGAGTTCTTATTTACCAGTTAGAAAAGTTAGGAGGATAAAGTAAGAACAGAAGGGAGAATAAAGAACATAATTTTGTTGTTTGCACACAGTAGTTGACAAAAAAGATGCTTATTTTTACCCTACATTTTATTTATCACACTTGGCCATTTGGGGGTTTCAGAAGAAAATTCTACTACCACTGAGAGCTATTAAAAAGAAGATATTGAAAAGGATATTTTCCCCAGCACTTCCAAGCAAGTTCATGGCCTGTCCTGACCCTCCTAAAGACCCTGCTAGGACTTTTGGACCTTAAGTTCACAGGCAAGGTCAGGTGTGAAATATCCTGGTGGGGTGCAGCCATCTTGAAGCCTGAACCTCAATCAACATTGCCGATGGGTGGCCTTTAGCACTCATCTCCCCCTCCCGCCTTTTAAGGTTTTGCTCCTCTGTGTTTTAATGTTTACAGAACGGCTAATCCCCACTCAGCAGGGAGCCCCTCATGGGCCCAATCACACCTTCCTCTTTTCTGGATTTCTCCTCACCCCTTGGATTTACACAGGCCCTAATTCTGAAGTGGTGCAGGAAAGATGCCTTTATTCCTCAGTTATTCAGAGAGTATTCCCAGGAGACTTGTTCACAGCCTAGATGCTGGCTAGATCAGAACAAACAAAAATGTAAGACAGTCCACAGAAGACTTAATATTGTTAAGATGTCAATACTGCCAAAGTGATCTACAGGTTTAACACAATCTCTATCAAGTTCCAAAGTCTCGTTTTTTGTTGTTGTTGTTGTTTTTACAGAAATAGAGATAATTTTGCCCTAAAATTCTTGTGGACTCTCAAGGGACCCTAAATAGCCAAAGCAATCTTGAAAAAGAACAAAGTTGGAGGGCTCACACTTCTTGATTTAAAACCTTATTACAAAGCCACAGTAATCAAAATAGTGTGGTACTGGCATAAAGTCAGTAATTTAGATTAATGGAATATAATAGAGAGCTCAGAAATAAACTCTCTTGTAAATGGTCAAATGATTTTCGACAACGGTACCAAGACCATTCACTGGTGAAAAAAGTCTTTTCAAACAATGGTGTTGGAACAATTGTTTATCTACATTCAAAGAATGGAGTCGGACCCTTATGTTATACCGTATACCAAAATTAGGTCAAAATGGATTAAAGTGCTAAATATAAGAGTGACAACTACAAAATTCTTAGAAGAAAACATAGGGGAAAATCTTCACGATACTGGATTTGGCAAGAATTTCTTGGACATGGACCCAAAAGCACAGGAGACAAAAGCAAAAATAGATAAATTGGTTTATATAAAAATTATAAACTTCTGTGCATTAAAGGACACAATCAACAGAGTGAAAAGGCAACCATCAACTCAACAACAAAACCCAAACAACCCAGTTAAAAAATAAGAAAAAGACTTAAATAGACATTCTTCAAAGAAGACATATTAATATAAATGGCCAATGAGCACATGAAAAGAAGCTCAACTTCATTAATCATTAGGAAAATGTAAACCAAAATTACAATGTCACCCATGAGGATGGTATCTATGAAAAAAACAGACAACATGTGTTGGTGAGGATGTGGAGAAACTGAAACTCTTGTGCATTGTTTGTGGGAATGCAAAATGGTGCAGCCACTATGGCTGACAGTATGTATGTGTACATATTGATTCCTCAAAAAATTAAAAATAGAATTAGCATATGATCCAGCAATTTCACTTCTGTGTATATACCCCAAAGAGTTGAAAGCAGAGTCTTGAAGAGCTATTTGTACATCCACGTTCATAGCGGTATTAATTACAACAGCCCCAAAGTGGAAGTAACCCAAGTAGCCATCAATGAATGAATGGATAAACAAAATATTATTCATCCTTAACAGGGAAGGAAATTTTAACATATGCTACAACAGGAATGAAACTTGAGGACATTCATGCTATCATGAAAAATAAGCTAGTGACAGAAGGACAAATGTGTCGGATTCCATGCATGTCAGGTACATACAGTAGTAGTAATTTCATAAAGACAGAGAGTGAACAGTGGTTTCCAGGGACTGAGAGGACAGGGAAGTGGGGAGCTGTTATTCAAAGAGTGTAGAGCTTCCGTTTTGCAAGATGGTAAAAGTTCTAGAGATTGGTTGCACAACAGTACAAATACACTTCATATGTCTGAACTAGACACTTAACATTAGTTAAGATGGTAAATTTGATGTTCTATAAATATACAGAACATGGTAAAATATTATTGTGATTTAAAAAAGCTAGAAGAATCCTCCCAATTCCATTTTGTAAAAAAATTAAAATAAAGTTAGTCACTCAGCTGTGACCAACTCTTTGCAACCCCAAGGACTGTAGCCCACCAGGCTCCTCTGTCCATGGAATTCTCCAGGCAAGAATACTGGAGTGGGTTGCTATGACCTTCTTCAGAGGATCTTCCTGACACAGGGATTGAATCTGGGTCTCCTGCATTGCAGGCAGATTCTTTACCATCTGAGCTACCAAAAAAACCTAAAACGAATCTCCTAACATCATTTTGTGAAAAAGTGGTTAATTATATCAAAGTCTGAGCTTTTAAAGTAGTTTGATTGGTGGGAAAAAGCTTATTAGAACTCTGGTGTGTGAATTCTAATGAACTACCTGGAGCTGCCACAGTCCCAGGCTTTGCACACAAATCCACTTCTCCCCGCTCACTCCTATCTTGATAAAGGCTCCTGAGCTGAGAGGAAGAAAGCCAGCCTGGCCACACTTGCCAACTAGGACAGGAAAGTTTTTCTCTGATTCTGATTGCAAGTAGGAAATGCAAGGGAGGGTTAGCAATTGCCCTTTAAGTATTTAGATGCCATCTAAGGAAATTAAATCAGAGGCTCAAAAGGAGGTTACAGTAACCCCAAGGAGACACAAAGGTACAATTCCTCTCAATCAATGCTGCAGTTAGAGATAGATGGAGATGGGCCCCCCAAACCTCAGTCCTACTAGTAGTTGTTACTTACCAGTGAGTGGACGCTTAATAGCTGTGTGACTGTGGGCAAGTCACTTAACCTCTCTGGGCTTAATTCATCACCTTTACCATGAAGAAATACCCCCTTTATCTAAAAGGTTATTAAAAATGTATCAAATGAAAGTATATAATAAGATATTTTAAAACTAGTCTAAAGAGATCTCTATATAAATATTAATTCTTGTAGGATCTGGAGTCTTTGTTTAATAAACAGGGACAGTTGTTTCCCTCTTGTTTGCACAAGAGGGACAAATTAGAGATAATGTATGTAAAGCACGTAGCACAGGACTTGGCCCAGAGTAGATTTTATAAATGATAGGAGCAATATTTTTTTACTTACTGCTATTCTCCTGTGAGTGGCCTCCCAGTGAAGGGGGTGGGCTTTGGGCATATATCTGATTTTGCCTGTCCAGCATCTGTTCTCCCTGCCTTCTTCTAAGAGCATCCTATTTGTCTTCAGGTAATTCTCTTTCCTTTCTCAGTCTGTGTGGTTCAGGTGCGGTACCCATTTTCCCTCCTTTTCTCCCATATTTGCCCTGGTCCTCCAGGCTGAACCAGGATATCCCTGGATAATCCACAGTGATTAGTTCAGTGATGGGCCCAGGACCTGATAATCCAGGGTAATGAAACAAAACCCTGGGTTCTTTTTTTTTGCTGGACCCACTGGAGAAGAGAAACACTTTTTTGTGAAGTCACTAGGATGATAGAATATGTCTCTAACAGGAAGAAAATGAGGGCAATGCAGAGAAAGAAAATCCAAGAAATGGACAAAGTCACATGACTGATGAACAAATTTGAATACATGAATCCATTAAAGTGTGAACTACCCTTGGAGATTTTAGTTACTTGAACAATAAATCCACCACAGCATTCCCACCCTCCACACCCCCCTAACTTTTTTTGCTGAATTTCTGCCATTTGTAATAGAAAGTTTTATTGAATAGAATTGACAGACTTTGAATTTATTCCTTCAGCTTCCACAATATCCCCTATTTGTCTTCCGGGATGATCCCCATAGCAACACTCACCCTGCGTCCGAACTCTTCTCCTTGCTTCACTTCCCGAGGATAGCCGTCAATCAGGAAGCCCTTGGTGTTGCTGAGGCTGGCCACCATGGCCTCCTTCAGGAGCTCCAGAATGATGCCCTGGGGCAGAGGGAGAGCGGTCAGGACCCAGACTCTTCCACAGAGCAGCACTCTGGAGTTACCAAAGGTCTCCCAGCCATCCCATCATGGCAAGGCGGAGAAACGTACTAGTTACATTAACAGTGCGTGGCAATATCCTGTATTTCATCAACTATAAATCTCAGTCCCCCACCACCCAATTTTAATGTCTATGGAACTGGTAGGTATTTTACAATCAGTACTGGGTCAAAGTCTGTTGATGGTTTTTCTTACTGGTAAATTTTAATGGTTAAAAGTTTTGGGGGGTTGCCTAAAAATAATGGTATCTTAAATTAGATGAAATATGGTACTGTATTTCAAGCAGTAGCACTCCTTGAATTAGGCCCAATGGCAGTTTAAAACTAGACAAAACATGGTATAAAATGTACTTCAGTGTTGATTTTTTTCCCAGTAAATATTTTGTAAAATTTGACATGATATGCATTGACTTGAGTAGACTTTCAGTAGACATGAAGTAGCATTTTTCTAGCAATATCACTTTGTTAAAAATTTTGATTAACTTGTGCTTATAGAAAACAAGGAAGCTACCAGCTGCCCAAATGGGGCGAATTCCTTGTGCTCGCTGGGTCCCTGGCTACCTCTGACTTTCAGCAGGGGCTGGGGAATACAAGTATCACAAAGCGCACTCAGAATCTATCCCTAGATAATAATGAATTAAACCCTCATGAAGTTTATATTTTAGTGAAAAATAGATACTAGATGAACAAGTAAATATATAAAAATAATCAGAGAGAACTACTAGGAACAAAATTAAAGCAGATCAGAAGAAGCAGATTGTTAGAGGTGCTGTTTTTAGATGGGGTATGCAGGCCTCTTTGATAGACTGTGATATTTAAGGAGAGATCTGGATGAAGTAAAGGAGCAAGCTATATGCATATATGAAAGAAGGGCACTCAGGTTGAAGAAATAGACAATGTTAGGGCCCAGAGGCAGGAGAAGTCTGGCCTGTGAGAGGAAGAATGGGGGGGTGGGGGTGGGTGAGAGGAAATGTGAGAGTCTTGGAAAAGAGCATTGGAGAGCAAGCTGGAGTCCAGAGCCATGGGAAAGTCTCTGGATTTCCTTCAAAATGTGGGGAGGAGCTGTTGGAAGGTTCTGGGAAGGGGGATAAATGTTTCTAAGAAATCACTGTGGCTGCTGTGAAAAGAGTAAACTGTAGGAGAAAAAGAGTGGGCAGAAGGAGGCCTGTTAAGAGGAACTACAGGACTTCCTTGGTGGTAGAGTGGGTAGGAGTCTGCCGGCCAATGCAGGAGACATAGGTTCGATCCCTGGTCCAGGAGTCTTCCACTTGCCTTGGAGCAACTAAGCCTGTGCACCACAACTATTGAAGCCCGTGTGTTCAAGGGCCTTTGAGCCACCACTACTGAGGCCACATGCGGCAACTACTGAAGCTCACATGCCTAGAGGCTGTGCTCCACAACAAGAGAAGCCACCACGATGAGAAACCCAAGCACTGCAACAAAGAGTAGCCCCTACTTGCTGAAACTAGAGAAAGTCCTCAAAAAGCAACGAAGACCCAGTGTAGCCAATATAAATAAATAAGCAGATTAATATATAAATCTCCAAAACTTTAAAAAGAAAAGAGACAACAGCAGTGGTCTGTTTCCTTTATGAGGACCATTCTGGCTTCCAGGTGGGAAACAGACTGTAGCTGGTTAAAGAGGAAGCGAGAAGCTCTCTTAGCTAATAGGGGCTGCACTGTCCATGCCCTGACTACAGAGCCTAGTGTGAGAGTTACTCTGGAAGGGATGAATGTTTTATGATACCCGTGGCATCCAGCCTCTCAGATATGGATGGTGACTTGAAAACAAAACAAAAAAGATAAATAAAAGGGATATTCTTTGGCTACCCAAGGAAGATAACAAATTTCATGTTAATGCCATTATACCTCTCAGAATGAGACCAAGACATTATTTTCTGTTTTTCAGAGGGTTCTAAGAGTCCTTTGGACTGCAAAGAGATCGAATCAGTCAATCCTAAAGGAAATCAATCCTGAATACTCACTGCAAGGACTGATGCTGAAGCTGAAGCTCCAATACTTTGGCCACCTTATTGGAAGAGCCATCTCATTGGAAAAGACCTTGTTGCTGGGAAAGATTGAGGGCAGGAGGAGAATGGGGCAACAGAGGATGAGATGGATGGCATCATCAACTCAATGGACATGAGTTTGAGCAAGCTCCAGGAGATGGTGAAGGACAGGGAAGCCTGGCATGCTGCAGTCCATGGGGTTGAAAAGAGTTGGACATGGCCTAGCAACTAAAGAACAACAACTAATTCTAGGTTCTGCTGCACCAAGATCATTTCTGCTTTGAAGCTTTTAACTCTAAAGTGAAGTCGCTCAGTCATGTCTGACTCTTTGTGACCCCATGGACTGTAGCCTACCAGGCTCTTTCATCCATGGAATCTTCCAGGTAAGAGTACTGGAGTGGGTTGCCATATCCTTCTCCAGGGGATCTTCCTGACCCAGGGATTGAACCTGGGTCTCCCACATTGCAGGCAGATGCTTTACCATCTGAGCCACCAGGGAAGTAGGGACCAATTTTAGGAAAAAGTATGAAATAGGTTAAATTCAAGGAACTGGCAGAGCAACAAGACAGAAGGAACCAGGGCCTGGGCAACTTGGTCTGGCAGATGAGCCTCTGCTGTGGACCTCCTGCCTGCCTCTGGACTGTTAAAAGAAACAAAATACAGCATTGTCCTTTTTGAGTTTCTTTGTTTCTGAAGCTTAGATTAATGGCAACACTTTCAGATCTCTCCTCGCCAGAGAAGGCAGCTGTTGCTTACTGAGGGCACCCGCTCTCCACGTTCCATGATGCCTCTGATCAGCTTGCTTCTTTCAGATTCTGATGACAGCTCATTCCGCAGGAGCTCGCCAGTCGAGAGATGTGTAAATCCATATTTTTCCACCAGCTTTCCACACTGTGTGCCTTTGCCAGAGCCTGGGCCCCCTAGAAAAGAAGTCATGGGTCAGACATCCATCCCGAATCTGGTGCCCTGTTCGGGGTTGTAGTCACACAGTGAGCAGGCTTCAGTGCTTGATCCACCAGCATGGACTGAGCCCTGCTGATCTATTGGAGGCGTACTGGGAGCCATGGATACAGTGGCAAACGGGACACAGGCCTTGCCCTCAAAGATTGTGTCCATGGAGGGCAGAGGGTGTTACAGACAAACAACAGCAGTCACTATAGGTGGTCTAGTGGGGAGAAGTGCAGAGGGCGCAGGGGAGGGTCCACAGTCCCAATTTTGAGGACATGCTCAACAGATAAGTTTCATGGGGCCCTGAATCTGCTCATGAGCAAAGCAGGGACCATGGCGCCTGATATATGGTGACCGCTCAACAAATGCTAGCCGTTACTTTTTGTTTTTGTAATTCAGAAAATAATGCAAGCAATTTTAATTTAATCTAGAGACAGGTGCTTTATTTACAAATATTTAGATTAATAGCATTTTGCTACATCAAATGAAGAGTACAGCAGTTTGGATAAATCCTGTCACAGAAATAATTAAGACCCACTGTGACTAACTTTGGGAATTAGGGTGTTGCACCTAAACAAGTCTTTAGTTTGTGGTTGTTAGTCACTACTTTTAAAATCAGTTGTTTTCAAATTTATGGTTACCAAAGAGGCAAGGTGAGGGGGATAAGTTAGGAGTTTGGGATAAACATACACACACTAGTATATATAAAATAGATAACCAACAGGGACCTAGTGTATAGCACAAGGACCTCTACTCAATTTTTTATAATAACCTAATAAGGAAAAAAATCTGAAAAAGAACAGACAAATATATATGCGAAAATGAATCACTGTGCTGTACGCTTGAAACTAGCACAACGTATATCAACTCTACTTCAATAAAAAATTGTTTTCACAAATATCATATATTAATGCATAAATATGGAATCTAGAGAGATGGTACTGATGAACCTATTTGCAGGGCAGCAATGGAGACAAAGACATAGAGAACAGACTTATGGACACAGTGGGTGCTGAAAAGGAGAGAGTGGAACGAATGGAGAGTGTAGCATGGAAACATATACACTAACATACGTAAAATAGATAGCCGTGAGAATTGGTTGTATGACTCAGGGAATAGGGGCTTTGTGACAATCTAGAAGGGTGGGATGGGGAGGAAGATGGGAGGGAGGTTCAAGAGGGAGTGGACCTATGTATTTCTATGGCTGATCCATGTTGATATGTGGCAGAAACCAATACAATATTATAATTATCCTTCAATTAGAAATTTAAAAAAGATTTAAAAAGAAAAAAATCATTTTCATTTTTAAATAATCATAAAGTTACAGAAGAGTTATGAGTACAAAGAACTGTCTGAAACATTTGAGAATCAGCTGCCAACCTGATGCCTCATCGTTACTGAACACTTTAACATCATTTCCGCCAGACCAGGAGCCAAGCACATCCTCCTACATAACTGCATCTTTGGACCTTATTCAGATGTCAATGAAATTGTCCCAGTCATCTCAATAATGTCCTCTGAAGCCAATGGATCAAGTTCAGAATCACGTGCTGCCTTTAGTGGTCGTGTCTTTCTGGTCTTCTTCCATATGGGCCAGTTCCTCTATATTTCATTGACACTTTGGAAGATTATAAATAGTTATTTTACAGAATGTCCCTCAGCATGCATTTTTCTATTATTTTCTAGCTACTAATACTCATGATCTCCCATATTCCTTTGATGAACATTACATCCTGATTCTTTCATTGTCTCCCCCACCAAGTTCAACTAGTTGCTAAGTTGCAAGATTTTACACCTTAAAAAATATTAATAGCTAACTTTTGCCAAGTGCTTACTGTACTGGTCATTGTTCTAAGCACTTTATGTGTATTAATTTTAAATAATCTTAAGAGAGGCAGACATTGGTATTATTCCCATTTTACAGATGGGGAAGTAGAGTCACAAAGAAGTTAACTGCCTTAGGTGGCATGAGTAAGTAAATAGCAAGTCTAGGATTTGAAGCCTGAACTCTGGCTCTCAGAGGTGTTCCCTCCTCTTTTGGCTGCTGCGCCCAGGTTTACCTGCCACGTTTTGGGTCCTCATGCTCTTAGTATACAGAAGGCATCCTGCCTCTGTGTGGAGCAAAGGGTGAGGCTTTGGGGTTCAGCAGACCCATGAACAGGATGATTTGCCTGAAAAGCATGTCACTTTCCAGCTGCAGAGCATTCTGTGGCTTCCCTTTCTCCAACTCCTTAGAGTGGCATTTGTAGCTTCTAGGAGCTAGTTCCATTCAGCCTCTCCAACTTTTTTCTACATTTCTTATCCTCACCCAACATTGTCCTGTCCAACCACAGACTGTCCTTTCATCAAGACATACTTTAAAAAAACGCTTTTCTAACTGTGAGATAATTGCAGATTCACATTTGTAAGAATAATATAGAGAGATCCCATGAATCCTTTACCATTTTCCCTAGTGGTGGCATTTTGTACAACTACATCACATCACAATATCACAACCAGAATATTAGCACTGATGTAATACAGAAGGAAAACATTCCCGTCAGTGCCGGAGTCCCTTATGCTATCCTTTTATAACCACACCCGCTTCTCTCTACACACACATCGTTAACCTCTGGCAACCACTAAATCTGTATATAATTTTGTCATTTTGAGAGAACTGTATGAATGGAACCACAGGCATCAAGATATAGTTTTCCAATGTGCTTTTGCTCTTCCCGTCCTCAGCCTGGATGGCTTCCACTTTCCACTCTATCAAGATTCTCTTCATCCCATGGGTCTGGATCCAATGTTTCCCCCTTCCAGCAGGAATCAGCCTGTCCACATCGCCTCTCCTGGGGTGAGTGATGTAACCCCCACTCGGGTGCCGTTGGCCTGTCTCACACTTGGTCTAGGTCTCCCATTAGACCTTCTGCCCCACAGCATCTACACAGTACCTGGCCATGCTGAAGTGAGTGAAGTCGCTCAGTTGTGTCCGACTCTTTGCGATCCCATGGACTGTACCCCGAGAGGCTCCTCTGTCCATGGGATTCTCCAGGCAAGAATACTGGAGTGGGTGGCCATTAGGTGCTTCTTAATGCTTGGAAGATTTCCCGGTTAAAAGGAAATATATAACACCAAAATGTAAAACATGATTGAGGTTTTAGCATGGTAGTGAGCACTTACAACTTGTCCTGTAATTTTCCTGTCTGGCCTCTCTTCACCTTCAAAACTCCTTTCTCGGAACAACTGGCAACAAACCTCTTGAGGGGCAGTACTTGTGGTCCCTCATTAGTGGAAGGGCCTCTCACTCCCTCTCTTTTGCGTTGGCAGCGAATCCAGGAAATGTCCACGCTTTGACTTCTGCTCATTTGCAGAGCTGCTCTCGACCAAATGGGAAGGGTTCAGAGCGCTCGCTGTATTGTCATGGTGGCTGAGATGTACCAGGAAAACAGCAATTACAGAGGCTCGCAAAAATAATGCAGACCACTTAGCAGGAAAGGCTGATTGCCAGCTGATGCTATGTTTGCTCCAAGCACCATGACTCCTGTCTCCTGAGATAACAGGAATGGAGAGTGGGAACAAGGGACGGCCACTCTGGGCAGGAGTGCTTCCATAAAAGGAGGGAGGGAAACAACGGGCTAGGCTCTGGCAGCAGCCGCGAGGGCTCCTGGAGCTGGATTTACCTACAGACTCTTTCTTGAGGATGGCTGGAAGCCAGTCATGTGGGAAAAGATATTTTCAGCCTTGGCTTACAGGGCAAAAATGCTACGTTTCAATTATTTTCTTCCTTCAGCATTCTCCTAATATGACTATTATAATTTTTGTTCCTCTCAAATGTTATTTAATAAATCTTGACACAAAGGCAATTAAAACATCTTCAGCTCAAATTAACCACAGCTGTGTGTGAAACAGCAGCCGCTGCTCCAGTTAGAAACCTTTCGTGGGAGCAACAGCTGCAAATTCTTAACATTCTTTGGGCAAATGGGGCAGGCACAGTGGAATTTTAAGTAATCTTCACAATGGTTTGATTTTTCCCGCGGCTCCAAACCAGGGAACAAAGTGATTTTTATCACTGCCGTGAAGGCACCAAAACTGCTGGGAGATGTAGGAATTTTCATAGGGTGTCACTGACATTTCTTTGAGGCCTTCACTTAATGTATTGAAATAAAAAACTATGGAGCCTTGATATCCTTCCAGGATAATTTGTTACATGAGGAAAACTCTTCTGAAGTGATTTTCACATATCTGAACAAGTGGGCTGCATTCTCTCCTGAGATGACTGACAGGAGATGGGGAGCTGTCACATTTATTGTCATCCCACTGATTTTTCCTGTATCGTTTTTCAGGCTTTATCCCTGAACAAACAGATGCACAATACTGCATGGTGTGATTCACGAAGGCAGCCTGGGGTAGGAGGTTCCATTTTAAAAGCGTCTGTCAACACTTTAAAAAAAGAAAAGGTGAAAAATCTTTATTCTCAACCACCAATGTAATTTGAAATTTTTTCCATGTGAGGCCAAAGGTGCTATATTGTGAGAAGTGCAAATGCTATGAGCCTCCGCTTCACAGCACAGTGTAGCCCTGCCGCTTCCGCAGTGGCTCAGTGGGTAAAGACCTTGCCTGCCAGTGCAGGAGACACAGGAGCCGTGGGTTTGATCTCTGGGTCTGGAAGATCCCCAGGAGGAGGAAGTGGCAACCCACTCCAGTATTCTTGCCTGGAAAATCCCATGGACAGAGGAGCCTGGTGGGCTACCGTCCGTGGGATCACGAAGGGTTGACGTGACTGAGTGACTCACACACCAACGACACAACGCTGCGCTGAGGAAGGGGGGCACCTGCAGGAGACCTGGCAGCTACCGGCCCACGGCTGGACTCGCTTTCCTGCCTTCTCCCAGCTACCTGGTATTCGGGAGGACTGAAACAAGCTGCATCACGTCAGCATGTCCACCTCAGCCACCTTCTCCAGGGTGCTTTCTATCTTCAGGGGCAATACTCTCAGGGGACACCTCCTGGATTCATTAGTGGGGTTCCCTGCAGGAGAAGACCTGCCTCCTAAGCGCCTTTGCAGGGTGCTTGGCTTTAGGACGAAAAGAATGAAATGGCAAATCTGGTGTGTTAGAGCCCATTCTGTGCTCAGGAAGAAAGTGAATGATGATATCATGTTGATCATTAGTTGCGTTCAATACAGTCAGTCAGTCGTGTCCAACTCTTTGCGACCTCATGGACTGCAGCACACCAGGCTTCTCTGTCTATGACCAACTCCCAGAGCTTACTCAAACTCATGTTCATCGAGTCGGTGATGCCATTCAACCATCTCATCCTCTGTTGTCCCCTTCTCCTCCTGCCTTTAATCTTTCCCAGCATCAGGGTCTTTTCCAATGAGTCAGTTCTTCACATTAGGTGGCCAAAGTATTGGAGCTTGAGCTTCAGCATCAGGACTTCCAATGAATATTCAGGATTGATTTCCTTTAAGATTGACTGATTGGATCTCCTTGCAGTCCAAGGGACTCTCAAGAGTCTTCAACACCGCAATTCAAAAGCATAAATTCTTCGGCACTCAGCTTTCTTTATAGTCCAACTCTTACATGACTACTGGAAAGACCATAGCCTTGACTAGATGGACCTTTGTTAGGAAAGCAATGGCTCTGCTTTTTAACATACTATCTAGATTGGTCATAGTTTTTCTTCCAAGGAACAAACATCTTTTAATTTCAAGGCTGCAGTTACCATATGCAGTGATTTTGGAGACCAAGAAAATAAAGTCACTCACTGTTTCAATTGTTTCATCCAGCCTGGCATTTCTCATGATGGCCTCTGCATATAAGTTAAAAAAGCAGGGTGACAATATATAGCCTTGATGTACTCCTTTCGTAGTCTGGGACCAGCCTGTTCCATGTCCAGTTCTAACTGTTGATTCTTGACCTGCATATAGATTTCTCAGGAGGCAGGTTAGGTGGTCTGGTATTCCGATCTCTTGAAAAATTTCCCACAATTTGTTGTGATCTACACAATCAAAGGCTTTGGCATAGTCAATAAAGCAGAAGTAGATGTTTTTCTAGAATTCTCTTGCTTTTTCAATGTTCCAATAGATGTTGGCAATTTGATCTTTGGTTCCTCTGCCTTTTCTAAATCCAGCTTTAACACCTGGAAGTTTCACGGTTCACATACTGTTGAAGGTTGGCTTGAAGAATTTTGAGCATTACTTTACTAGCGTGTGAGATGAGTGCAATTGTGTGATAGTTTGAACATTTTTTGGCATTGCCCTTCTTTGGGATTGGAATGAAAAGTGACTTTTTCCAGTCCTGTGGTCACTGCTTAGTTTTCTAGATTTGCTGGCATATTTAGTGTGGCACTTTCACAGCATCATCTTTTAGGACTTGAAGCAGCTCAGCTGGCCCACTTGACTTTGCATTCCAGGATGTCTGGCTCTAGGTGGATGATCACACCATCATGGTTATCTGGGTCATGAAGATCTTTTTTTTTGTACTGTTCTGTGTATTCTTGCTACCTCTTCTTAATATCTTCTGCTTCTCTTAGGTCCGTACTGTTTCTGTCCTTTGTTGTGCCCATCTTTACATGAAATGTTCCCTTGGTATCTCTAATTTTCTTGAAGAGCTCTCTAGTCTTTCCCATTCTGTTGTTTTCCTCTATTTCTTTGCATTGATCACTGAGGAAGTCTTTCTTACCTCTCCTTGCTATTCTTTGGAACTCTGCATTCAAATGGGTATGTCTTTCCTTTTCTCCTTTGCCTTTAGCTTCTTTTCTTTTCTCAGCTATTTGTAATTAGCTGAACAGGTTGATAATTAGATGAATCCCAAATACAAACAAACACATGGATGTAGTTTCTATTATACTTAACAATCTTTTGACCAAAAAAAGGCAATGTTCAGAAAACTAAGATCATGGCATCTGGTCCCATCACCTCATGGCAAATTGATGGGGAGACAGTGGGAACAGTGTCAGACTTTATTTTTTGGGGCTCCAAAATCACTGCAGATGGTGATTGCAGCCATGAAATGAAAAGATGCTTACTCCTTGGAAGGAAAGTTATGACCAACCTAGATAGCATATTAAAAAGCAGAGACATTACTTTGCCAACAAAGGTCCGTCTAGTCAAGGCTATTGTTTTTCCAGTGGTCATGTATGGATGTGAGAGTTGGACTGTGAAGAAAGCTGAGTGCTGAAAAATTGATGCTTTTGAACTGTGGTGTTGGAGAAGACTCTTGAGAGTCTCTTGGACTGCAAGGAGATCCAACCAGTTCATCCTAAAGGAGCTCAGTCCTGGGTGTTCATTGGAAGGACTGATACTCAAGCTGAAACTCCAATACTTTGGCCACCTCATGCGAAGAGTTGACTCATTGGAAAAGACCCTAATGCTGGGAGGGGTTGGGGGCAGGAGGAGAAGGAGACAACACAGGATGAGATGGTTGGATGGCATCACTGACTCGATGGGCATGAGTTTGAGTAAACTCCGGGAGTTTGTGATGGACAGGGAGGCCTGGCATGCTGCGATTCATGGAGTTGCAAAGAGTTGGACACGACTGAGCGACTGAACTGAGCTGAACTGAACTGAAAGCAGGCAATGGTGTCCCTGGTTGAGATTTTATTGTATTCTGGTAACTGTAGGATAGCAAGGAGATCAACCCAGTAATCCTGAAGGAAATAAAAACTGAACATTCATTGGAAGGACTGATGATGAAGCCGAGGCTCCAATACTCTGGCCACCTGATGCAAAGAGCTGACTCACTGAAATAGACCCTGATGCTGGGGAAGATTGAAGGCAAGAGGAGAAGAGAGTAGGAGAGGATGAGACGGTTGGATAGAATCATTGACTCAATGGATATGGACTTGGACAAACTCTGGGAGATAGAGAGGGACAGGGAGGCCTAGCAGTTTACAGTGTTGCAAGAAGTCGGACATGACTTAGAAACTGAACAACAACAACAATAACAAGAAGAGGTCACTCATCTTTTTAGCTCTTTCTGAGTTACATCTGCAGGGCTTCATCCACATCAAAGTTGGAATCAAACATAATCTAACAACAAGGATGGGGACTAGCCATCACTCTGAGATGTCCAGACCACTTGCAGGAAATTAAGATATATAATAGTGTGTGCGTTTACACATACACACACATATATGTATACATATACATATATATATGGCTGTACATGTCCAAATATATATATCTTGTTTGGAAACCTCATAACATTTATTTTTTCAAGGCAAAGCAGAGAGGACAGCATTCCACAGGTTCTAATGTCATAAGCAATGTTCTTTAGGCCTTAATTCCCATCTCATCCCAGCCTCAAGGTTCTTTAAACCTCTTCAGCACCACTGGCCCTCATTACTAACCCAATTTTAGGTCCTCTTTGATGTGGCTGAACCTAGGAGTGCATCATTACTTGAGTCTGTCCTCCCATCCTGCTCACAGCTTGTTCTCCTGGTCTCTTTTCCCTTAACCTCTGATTGTTTCCCTTGTGCCTCAGATGGTAAAGAATCTGCCTGCAAAGCAGGAGACCCAGGTTCAGTCCCTGAATCAGGAAGATCCCCTGGAGAAGGGAATGGCAATCCACTCTAGTATTCTTGCCTGGAGAATTTCATAGAAAGAGGAGCCTGGCAGGCTACATTCCATGGGGACATGACTCATTGACTAATACTTTGACTTCTCAACTTGTCCTCTGTTCTCACTGTGACCTCAGCGAGTTGCTCTGTTCCCTTGGGGCTCCATTTCCTGACCAGCTGGGTTCCAGACCCATTCTCGTAACTCTGAATGTTTTACACCCTTTGAATTCTATTGTGACTGTGATGAGAACCACCAGCCTGCTCTCTGCCCAACCTACCGTTTACTTGACTCGCATCTACTCTGGGTTGCTAAGAATTCCCCAAGAAGGTCAGAGCCAACTGGGTTTCTATCTAACTTCTTAAAAGCTCTTAACGTTTCTTGATAGATATATTCCTCTTCTGCTGATACCAAATTTGATGTCCACAGATAGATTCTAATATATTTCCCCACTGTCCTCAAATCCTCAAACATATTTTCAGTCTTCTCACTTTTAATAGGCATTTCAGTCCTTCTATTATTCACTATTAAGGTGAAGATTATCTTCTTTCCTCAACATTTTCAAGATGTGTATCTTTATCCTTTGTTCTCCATCTCTCTTTTCTCTCATTTGGAAGATATTATACAACTATATGGGCTTCCTAGGTGTTGCCAGTGGTAAAGAACCCACCTGCCAATTCAGGAGACATTAAGAGATGTGGGTTTGATTCCTGGATTGGGAAGATCCCCTGGAGGAGGGCATGGCAACCACTCCAGTATTCTTGGCTGGACAATCCCACAGACAGAGGAACCTGGCAGGCTATAGTCCATTAGGTAGCAAAGAGTTGGACATGAGTGAAATGACTTAGCATGCACGCAAACAATTAGTTAGCTCTAAGGCTAACTTTTCTGCTTTGCCTCTTGCAGCACTTCGGCATTTTCTGTCATAGTGTTTTCATAGGATATAGTAGCCATCTATCTATCTACAGTTTACTTAAAGTCTGTCTTCCATATTAGACGCTATAGGACATGAGTATACTTTGCTTACCACAGTGCCCCCAACATAGTGCTTGAAACACAAATGTCTACTGTATTTATAATAAGTCATCCACTTTTTTTTCTTTGTAAATTTTATTTTTATGTGTTTATTTACATGGCTGCACTGGGTCTCAGTGGTGGCACTTGGACTCTCAGTTGCATCATGTGGGATCTAGTTCCCCAGCCAGGGATTGAACCCAGGCCCCCTGCATTGGGAGTGCAGAGTCACAACCACTGGACCACCAGGGATGTCTCAGGTGTCTACTTTTTAATAGTGGCTAAAATAGTAAATAATTTAATGATGAATGGATCCTCTCCTCCTGCCAGCTCCAAAACCTCTTGTCCACATTAAATTTATTACTCTGTTAGCACTATCTCTTCCGTAAGCAGCATACTTAGTTCTTCCCAATCCAAATAAAAACATTTCCACCATTGTCTGTATCTTCTAGTTGTCTCTACATTCTTTCCTCTTTTTTTTTTCCAGTAGCCTGAAACTGCCCATTTCAATTTCCTCCTCTTTTATTGACTCCCTAGCCTCTCGCAAGCTATTTTCTCCTCTTATTACTCTCTGAAATTGATCTCTTAAAGTTCAACAGTAAGAACTTCCCTGGTGGTCCAGTGGTGAAGAACCTGCCTTTCATTGCAGGGGAACTCAGGTTTGATCCCTGGTCAGGAAACTAAGATCCCAACACGCTGAGGGGCACCAAAGCCCAAGCACCATAACTAAGACTCGGCGTGGCCTAAGTAAACAAATATAAAAAAAAAATCGAGTTCAACAGTAATTGCATAATTGTCATATTATTCAATGATTCTCTTCTAGACTTTACTGTTTTTGACTCTTTAGTAGCATTTAACATCGCTGATACACAGCTTAAAAATCTCTTTTCCTGTGACTTCCAGACACATAATTTGCCCATGTTCTCTCCTTTTCTTTGCCAGATAGAAGCTCACAGAGAGCAGAAATTGCTTCATTTATGTTGGTCTCCCCAGGGAACTTTGGGAAGCATCACAGGCAATTGTTGATGAATTGATGTCTAGGAGACCTGTGGCCCCATGACAGTGACAACTATACTCCTTTTCACACCAAAGGAACTCTGGATCAAAGGACTCAAGTTCTAGGTTCACACCCTAGACCTTTATCGGGTGAGATGACTTTAACGGAGTCACTTGTCCTCTCTGAGTGTCAGCCTCTTCAGTTACAAAACAGGTAATGCCTATTGGCTGTGAGGACAAAATGTGATAATGCAAATAAATTGCCTGGACCAGTAGCTGGCACGGTGAAACACTCAATAAACATCATGATTATCATCTGTAAAACAAGGCAGCTCATGTTAGTGATGCTTAGAAGTACTACCAGCTCTAACGTTCCATGCTTTTTACAAAGATTACATACAGCATTTTTATACTGCAGTACAATTTTAGCATCTTTAAAGATGGATAGTCTTCACAGTTTTAGCCTGTGAAGGTTTCAAATGTCTTTTGCGAATCAAACTATCCTATTTTTAGATAGTCCTCAAAGTTGTTTAAAAATCTATCAGAAAAAAAAGTCATTTTAAGAAAAAAAAGTTATCAGATTTCTGCCTCTTGAAATATTTCCTTCTCTCTAAATGAAAACGGGCTTCAAGGTTGGGTTTGGGCTTTTGTAACTGAATGATTTCTTTCAGAGAAAAGCCATTCTGCCATCAGATCATGAAAGGACTATGCCCTAGGAACCATCCTCAACTACTGTGGCCCATGAATCACTTAAACATCCTGTATCTGGGGTGAGCTGTGTCATCATGCTGAGTTTCAGTAGGGTAGCTGGGAATTGGCTCTCTCTGACCAAAACCAATTAAGAAAAACAGAACTTTATCCTCAAAGACAGTACCTCTATTAGTTCTGAAACACATTGCTGCTTCAAGTTATTTGCCAAATAGGATGAAGCATGCCTGCTGATAGAGTCAGCCGAAGACTACGTGAAAGAATTTCACATGGGACAGGGAACTTTTTCACTTTTTTGTTTTTTAACTGAAAGTCTAATAAACTTGAAGTTGCTGCATCTTTTTCTCATCTTCTGAGTTGTGGGCTTGGCATGTGGGATCCTAGTTCCCTAATGAGGGATCGAACCCACTCCCACCTTGCACTGGAAGTGCAGAGTCTTAACCCTAAGTCCTGGGACTGGGAATTTCTTGACAGGAGTGTGAGTGTGCTCATTCACTCAGTCATGTTTGATTCTTTGTGACTTCATGGACAGTAGTCCTCCAGGCTCCTCTGCCCATGGACATTTTCAGGCAAGGGTACTGAAATGGGTCAGTTCAGTTTAGTTCAGTCCCTCAGTCGTGTCCGACTCTTTGCAACCCCGTGGACTGCAGCACGCCAGGCTTCCTTGTCCATCACCAACTCCTGGAGTTTACTCAAACTCACATCCATTGAGTCGGTGATGCCATCCAGCCATCTCATCCTCTGTTATCTCCTTTTCCTCCCACCTGCAATCTTTCCCAGCATCAGGGTCTTTTCCAATGAGTCAGTTCTTCACATCAGGTGGCCAAAGTATTGAAGTTTCAGTGTCAGCATCAGTCCTGCCAATGAACACCCAGGACTGATTTCCTTTAGGATGGACTGAATGGATCTCCTTGCAGTCCAAGGGACTGTCAAGAGTCTTCTCCAACATCACAGTTCAAAAGCATCAGTTCTTTGGTGCTCAGCTTTCTTTATAGTCCAACTCTCACATCCATACATGACTACTGGAAAAACCGTAGCTTTGACTAGACAAACCCTTCTTGACAAAGTAACGCCTCTGTTTTGTAATATGCTGTCTAGGTTGGTCATAACTTTTATTTCAAGGAGTAAGTGTCTTTTAATTTCATGGCTGCAATCACCATCTGCAGTGATTTTGGAGCTCAAAAAAGTAAAGTCTGTCACTGTTTCCACTGTTTGTCTATCTATTTGCCATGAAGTGATGGGACCGGATGCCATGATCTTAGTTTTCTGAATGTTGAGCTTTAAGCCAAGTTTTTCACTCTCTTCTTTCACTTTCATCAAGAGGCTCTTTAGTTCTTCTTCCCTTTCTGCCATAAGGGTGGTGTCATCTGCATATCTGAAGTTATTGATATTTCTCCTGGCAATCTTGACTCCAGCTTGTGCTTCATCCAGCCCAGCGTTTCTCATGATGTACTCAACATATAAGTTAAATAAGCAGGGTAACAATATACAGCCTTGACATATTCCTTTTCCAATTTGGAATCAGTTTGTTGTTCCATGTCCAGTTATAACTGTTGATTCTTGACCTGCATACAGATTTCTCAAGAGGCAGGTCAGGTGGTCTGGTATGCCCATCTCTTGAAGAATTTTCCAGTTTGTTGTGGTTCACACAGTCAAAGGCTTTGGCATAGTCAATAAAGAAAAAGTAGATGTTTTTCTGGAACTCTCTTGCTTTTTTGATGATCCAGGAGATGTTGGCAATTTGATCTCTGGTTCCTCTGCCTTTTCTAAATCCAGCTTGAACATCTGGAAGTTCATGGTTCACATACTGTTAAAGCCTGACTCAGAGAATTTTAAGCATTACTTTACTAGCGTGTGAGATGAGTGCAATTGTGCAGTAGTTTGAGCTTTCTTTGGGATTGGAGTGAAAACTGACCTTTTCCAGTCCTGTGGCCACTGCTGAGGTTTCCAAATTTGCTGGCATATTGAGTGCAGCACTTTCACAGCATCATTTTTTTTAGGATTTGAAATAGCTTAACTGGAATTCCATCACCTCCACTAGCTTTGTTGGTAGTGATGCTTTCTAAGGTGCACTTGATTTAGCATTCCAGGATGTCTGGCTCTAGGTGAGTGATCACACCATCATGATTATTTGTGTCGTGAAGATCTTTTTTGTATAGTTCTTCTGCGTATTCTTGCCACCTCTTCTTAACATCTTCTGGATATTAACTGGAATGGGTAGCCATTTCCTACTCCAGGAGATCTTCCTGACCCAGGGATTGGACCTGTATCTCTTGCATCTCCAATATTGGCAGGTAGATTCTTTACCACTGAGCTGCAAGGGAACCCCCACACTACATGTGATCTTAGCCAAAAGGCCAAGAAGCAGTTTTTGTTAAGAAGGACTGTGCCTTATTTACCAATACCTGGTGTATAGTTATTAAATTATGGAGCTTCAGGGAGGTAGCCTTGAACATAACATTGGGAGTCAGGAGACCT